CCCAACTCCTGACTTGCAGGTGCCTCAGATGGATTAACCATCTAATTTGGTCTGAGGAGCAAAATGGGAGGAGGGGAGAGGCTGAGAGAGAGAGGCAGGATGGGGTTAGAGAGATTTTGCTTGGGGTCTTCTTCTGGGCAAGGCCTGGCCTCATGGAGATCATCTGCATCAGTACTTTTTTTTTTTAGGCAGGCTGGCCGAAAGCAAACCCTTGGAGATTTTTCCAAGCCTCTGTGATCTTTTCTGTCTTCAGTTTTATTTTAATATTAAAGCAAGCACAATGTACATTAAAGTGAGATGATTCTCATTGTACATATGCTCCTGGGGGCTTACCTGGAAAATGTGCTGTTATGTGGACCTCGTACAGGGCTCAGTCCTGCTGAGGGCGATCTGGGACCTTGTTGTTCAAAGTATGAACCATGGAGACCAGTATAGACCTGGCCTGTGAGCTTGTTAGAAATGCAGAAATCAGCCTCTGCTCCAGACCCACTGAATCGTAATCTGTCATTTAGTAAGATTCTCAGGGGGTTCATATACTAAACTTCTTAAAGTTTAAGAAGCACTGATCTGGGATTTAGAAATTCCTAGTTTAGCTGTGTGTGCAGAAAGAGGAGAAGATAGAGTTTTCCTAGACCAGTCGTTCTCAAACCTGACAAGCATCAGCACTCCCCGAAGGGCTTGTTAAAATAGGCCACTGGGTCCCATCCCACAGTTCTGATAGATGAGATCTGGGGTAAGACCTCGGAATTTTCTAACAAGTTCTCAGGCGATGCTGAAGCTGCTGGTCCGGGGACACACTTTTGGGAACCCGTGCTTTAGGTGTTTTAGGAGGCTCTAGGACTTAGGAAGATCTCTTTGGCTTTGAGAACCTTTGAGAAGGACCTGTCTAGCTTTCCTCAGGTAGTTTGACTTAGAAGAGCATATGCAAGCTCTGGAATCTGAAGACCAGCGGTTCTGGATTTGCCACATACTTGCAAGTCCCTTGAACTCTGACCTTTGTTTTCTTCATCTGATAATAAGGATAATAATAACCATCCCATCACATCATCATGAGGATCAGAAAAGGCACTTAATGATCTCTTGAATACAAACAAATGTAAGCTGTCACTAATTGACAAGGAGCAGCAAGGGCTTCTTTAAAAAAAAAAAAAAATCTTCCCAGTCAGAGGCTTTGGGAAATGATTTCATGTTGCTCTTTAAATGGTGGGTTCTCTCCTGAGATGTTTTGCTTTCCTCTGCTTTATTTATTACCATTTGGGGAAATTACCATACTGCTGAAAATGCTTTTTGGAAAAAAAAAGATATGTGTTATTTTCAAGGATTGTTGCTGAATATGATTTTTGTTTTGTTTTTTTGATATATCTGAGCATTAAGTGGCAGTGATTCACTCATTACGGTCAGATCTGTTTCTGGCATGGTAATATTAGCGCTCCAAAGCTGGGCTCCCCAGCGTTCTGTCAGTATATTTATAACCCACTGGAGCTGCTCATCAGTGCCATTGTCTTGCTGCGTGAGCTTCCCTGCATTCCTTCTTCCAGCTCTCAGAGGTCTTGTTTTGCTATCGTCTTAGTAATGCCTTGCCCATGAAGGCGTCACACACTCTTCTTTCTTCGTACCGACAGACTGCGAAGCGTTTGGGGTCTTTGGACTGGCCAGGAAATCTCTGCTGAATTAGAGGCATTAATTTATCACCGTGTAGCATGGGGAAAAGCACAGAGCCTTTAGAGTTAGACCCACTTCCGTCTGGTCTAGCCTCCATCGCTTATTACACTGGTTCTCCATCTTGTTTGCACCTTGGACTTAGCTGGGGGAAATTTAAAAACAGTACTTATGCTGGATCCCACCCTAGAGATTCTGATGTCATTGCTTTGGAGTGGCCTTGGGCATTTATCTGGACTTTTAAAACTCCTTGAGTGGTCCTACCAATTTGGAAGTGCACTGACTATGTGGTCATGAGGAGTTACTTAATGGTTCTGGGCCTCAAGTTTCTTTATATGTGAGACGGGCACAGTAACCCCTCTCTTGTAGTGGGGGTGCCCACCCTTCTCCAACCCCAACATACTTGCACCGCACTGCCTCTTCCATCACCCACCGTCAACCACCACCGTCAGCCCCATCCTAACAACTTCCCCAGGGAGTCTGGTTTATCACTGTGCCCTTGAGGGAATACCTTTTGAACTCCTGGAAGCGTATCTGCTGGCCATGGACCGTCTTCTAAACTGCACGTGTGGCTCTACCACAGCTCTCAAACCTAGGAAGCCATATTTTAAAGGTTGAAGAACATACAGACCTTGCATTAGGGTCAGGCTCGCCTCCTTTGACTCTCTAGACACTGGGCCCTGATAGCTACCTGCATTGTCTTCTCTGTGGCTGAACTTTCTGCCTATCTCTGTAAAGGGATGACCCCGCTCACCATCTTCTCCAATACACAAGCTATTCCTTTTTTTTTTTTTTTTTTTTTTTTTAAGATTAAGTTTATATATTTTTTAGTAATCTCTACCCCAAGCAGAAATGTTCCATATTTTATTTAGGGATAGAAATATCATAGACAAGAAAGTGTATACCCAAGGCTTTTCTTTTTTTTTTTTTTTAATT